CCCCACCACTCCCGCTCCAGCCTCAGCTGGCTCTCAGGGTCATTGGCCTTCAGCCCTCAGCCTCGTCCCAGCCACTGCAAAAACCAGGACATGGGATGCCTGGCTGTCCTCCCCTTACTATCCTGCCTGCCCTGACTCGTCTACCCTGCGAGGTGCTGACCTAGCTAGTGGGAAGCAGAGTCTCTGGAGGGCCACGCAGAGCCTTGGGGACTGACCGAGTCCCCCCACTGAGGGGTCCCAGGTGAGCCACTGTTCCCTGCCCCACCCCGTGTGTTGTCCTCTTCAGGCTGTCAGCTTCTCCCTGGCTTGGTTCAGGTGCGTTCCAGAAGTGGCAGGTCTCACGGGCTCACCCTGCCCCCCCTACCCCAGGCTCCTCCCTCTCTCCATCTTATGTGTCCTGAGAGGCTGGCTCCAAGCTGGGCTCCCCTTACCAGGCCCAGGTCCCTTCCCTGCACCACTCCCAGGGCCTTCAGCTACACACTCTGTTGTCTCCCTGGCCTCAGTGGGAAGCCCAGGCCAGGGCCCTGCCCTTCTTCCATAACCTACCAGGGCCAGGGCCAAGGCCTTCACTGTCCCCATGCCCCTTCCTCTTGGCTGAGCCCCCTGAGCCCTCAGAGGTCTGCTATACAGCTCCCCATAGGCCAGGCCAGGTGTATCCCCTGCCCTGTGGCCACAACCCTCAGATCTCACCAAGGCAGGCCCCAAGGAGACAGGGCCAGACCCTCAGGCTGCCCCCTCTTCTCCTGCTTACTTGGAAACCACAGTGCTGAGAGCCCAAGGGCCTGTCCTAGTCCCCTGTCTGTCCGTACCCACTCTCCCGAGCTCCCTAAACGTGTCACGAGGCTATACCCTAACCCTGACCACAGCCTGGACCTGCAGGAGAGCCTGGGAGGAGTTCTGACCGTGGAGAGGAGGTTGGCCCCCCAAGGGAGACATGTCCTGCTTTAGAGAGGCCTTTCTAGAAACAAAACTCATCCCTGAGGTGAGACTGGTGGCTGGGGTCAGGAGGGCAGCAGTCTCACTGCACAATCCCAAGGTGATTGGTGTATTTCCCGGTGTCAACCTGCTCATGCCTCATGTCCATTGCTGCCCCAGCTCCGTGTCCCTGAAACTCAGAGAAGGCCAGGATAGGGGGTAGGGGGTGAAAGGTGAGAGGTGTGGGGTCCCAGGGATGTTGGCAGCCCCTCCGCGCCCTGTGATCTTACGGAGTCCAGGACCCTCTGACCAGGGCACAGAGGGAGAGGTGAGGCCCTGCCTCCCTCGAGGGAGTGGCCCGAACTGTACCTGCTCATACTTGGTAATGATGGTGTTGCCTTGCTCCTGGGCAGGCAGGGTATCCGGGTCCTCATCCATCTCCATCCTGCAAGACAAAGTCATCCAAAGGCTCTGCTGCCCCTGAGAGCGCCAGAGAACAGCCGAACCACGCTCACTGCATTCCCAGACACACTCCAGTCTGGTGAGCCCCATTCCACTACCCCTCCCAGATGACAAGAGGCCAGACTCAGTGACCCCACCCCTGGCTGGATCTCTGGAGTCCTTGCCTCCAACCAGTGGTGGGCTCCTTCCTGAGGACTTGAACACATGGGGACCTGGACAGAGAGGCCCATTGTCCCCAAACACCCCAAGGCGGACACACACCTGCCCCGGCAGGACAAACAGTGTCCACTTGCGGAGGGTGAAGGGCCCACGATGGGCTGTTCTGGGCACCTGGAGGCAGGTGGGGTCAGGGGCCGGACATCTCTCTAGGATCGTTCAGAAACCAGGAAGATACTCAGTTTTCTGTAGGAAGCAAGACATCTGGTGACTGCTCCGTTCTACCCCAATTCTCACTCACTCTGGCCAGTGAAGCCATTTTAGGAACAGTGCCAGTCAAGGAGTTTGGTTTGGGGAAAAGATGATCTATTGACTCCGGAGCAGCCTCTGTGCTCGTGGAGACCCCGTCTCAGGTGGAGGATGGCGGACACCACAATTCCCAGCTGTGAGTACAGGAGGGGGCTTTGTTTTCC